AATAATCCATACTTTATATATACACTAGGTCAATATTTCGTTCAAATTAAATGAAAACATTATTATTGGGTGAAACATTGCTTAATGTAGCAAAAATACGTTATTCTGAAAAAATTTTGGTCATGTAATATACATGGTTCTAAACTTGTTTTATTGTAATATTTTATTATGAACCGTAGCCCTTACAATTGTATTTTAGTTGCATAATTTCTAGTTAGCCTATTAAAAGTGTATTAAAAAACACAATATAAAATTAATTTCTATTTAAAAAACGCACCAATCCAAGTGTAATATTTATCGTTGTCGTATACTGATGTAATAACAATTGGCTTTTTTTATTACAACTGCTTTTATTCCAAGTTTGAGCTGTTTTTATCGATAAAATATAAACCCATAATGAAATACTGTCAACAACGTATAACCAACATTCTTTTTATATTTCAACAAGTCAGAGGTGTTTTTGTTGTTTCAGAAACCTGCAAGAGACCTGCCTATTATGAAGGAAATTCAGTTGGGTATTCAAAGGAACAAGGGTAAGTAATTTTTACTGTAGATCGTCTATTATTATTGTAGGCCCTATTTCCGTGAAAAAGAAACCCTCAATGCGTTAACCCAAATCAAATTTGTTTTATTTTATTTTCGTTTGAAGCCATTTTCAAACAGAATGCAACTCAAGCTACCGGTATTCAATACTTAATAATAAGAAGCTGTCGTAAAGGTAACACCACTGTAAGATTCTCAAAAAATTCTGTCTTAAACGATGCTTTAAACGTTCTAGATTTACAGGAAATGAGGCTCAACTTTGGCGTAATGGCGTAATCATAATTTGTTTTAATTTAATTGTATTTTCTTACAATATTTTCTTCCGCTGAAAAAGGAACATGAATTCTATGTTTTTTTTCCGGCTGTTGTAGTGGCGTTACCCCTTAAAACAATTAATACTAAAAACTAATACTGAAAACAAATGAGCTAGATCTGGTGGAATGACTAATGAGAAAAGCTTTTATCGTAGATATAAATATTTATTGGAAAAACAAAGTTTCGCGGATTTCCTCATCAACGAACAGTTTTGTGGTCTTTTAGCGTTTCTGTTCCGACGTTTCGGAACTTAAGTAAACAGGAAAGCAATTTACATGAAAAATTGTTCAAACAGAGCAAATTAAAAAGTCAAAGCACGCGAAATTTGCATAGAAGAATTTCCAGTTTATCTACCGCTTTGAAACGGCAAACACAAGGCTGAGGGGTATCTACTAATTGAATTACAAATTTAGACTAAACGAAACTCCTTCTGTTAATACTTTTTGTCACTGAAAATGTAGAAAAGACGCCAGCAATTCTATTAAAAAAGTCTACATATTGCTGTTAGGGGTGAGGAGCGTATCTCTAAGTCCAGATGCAAAGTTCTGTTCATTGCGTTCAATTAAGCGTTAATTTAAAACTGTGACAAATTCTATATCCTGAACCAATCTTTGTATTTCCAGAAAACTAGAACATTACACAAAATAAAAAGAATAGAAAACTCTTACAATAGTTTTGATCAAATGGTCACTCCTGAGATAAAAATGCTCAGTCTCTCAGAGTCTCTGAAAGCGAGACTCGAGTCTCTCTGGTGTCGCTGAGAGAGACTGTCAAAAAAACTGTTTAGCGTCTCTGAACGAGAGACTCGAGTCGCTCGTAGAGAGATCCTCATTTCGTATCCAGTCTCTGAACGAGAGAATTGAATCTCTGAACGAGAGACTCGAATCTCTCAATAAGTGGTGTCTCGATAGACATGGTTAAAATTTTCAAAAAGTTCAAACATATTTCAGAGATCCCAGTTTTTCTACCAGAGACTTGAATCTCTGAATTAACAATTTTATCATTCGAGTCTCACATACAGAGACTGTGAGAGATCCATAAAAACACCTAGACAATAACTGAGAGACTGTGAAAGACTGTGAGAGACTTTCTCAGAGACGCTGAAAGACGAATACCTATATTGCTTCTCTGATAATGACCTTTCTAACGACATAATTGCGAAAGTTCTTTAATAAAAGTCAAAAAGCACTACGAACAGCCTTTTTTAGGGTTCGGTATCTCAAAAGGAAAATAGGAACCCTTATAGTATCACTTCGTTGTCCTTCTGTCAAAATCATTTTTCTCAGAAGCGTGAGGAGGTATCAAGTTCAAATTACTGTCAAATACTCAGGTGTGCAACCCCTTGGAGCTGTGAAAAAAAATCAAACTTCTAAGGCAAAGCATTCAAAAAGTACGGCCGTTTGTGCCGCATATTTTAACACTACGAAAGGAATCAAAACCCATAATTAGAATAAAATAATAGAATAAGTAATCCAAAAACCGTAGTTACATCAGAAAAAAAAATTTTTAATTACAATATTGTAATTTTACGTTTTTAGAGGGAAATTTAAAGCATACTCAGAAAAATCTTGGAAACCGGATTCCCGTAACGCACGAACTATTTACATATCTAGAAGTTGTACGGAACCCTCGGTGCGCCAGTCCGACTCACATTTGGCCCATTTTTATATTAATAAATTAAAGTTGTATACATATACATATATTAGTCGTCAATCATACATCTTACGGGCATGTAGTCGTCCGGAAATTAATTCAATCAAAAACGATAAACATCTCGGAGGTTTGAACAACCGGCAATTAGGCAGTTTGCCGAACTTTAGAAAAGGGTTTCTGTATTCACCCACCTAAACTAATTTACATGGATACGAAGATCGGGCCAGGTGCCTCGTTCTGTCCCCCGAGATATTGCTCTAACGTTTGCCATGTTTCTTACTTCAGGCAGTAGGATAACATTGACTTTAGCACTTCGCTGATCATGAGAATGGGAGAAGATGCTCATCCAAGTTTCTTAACCTTTAACCTGAAATGGGGCAGTCATTATGTAGTCATTATTTTTTTTTTCAAAGTTAGGGGATCTAACACTCCCTCTGAGGGCTTCCTACACCCTACCAAATGCTTGTTTAAGTAGTTTCGAATTTTTCATATTGAAGTGTTAAAAAAATTTGCTTGAATATTTAAATCCGATAAATTTAAAATTTTGTGGAAATTGACATTTGTATGTAATTTAAGGCAAATTTTCCGAACTATGTATCGAAATTTATAAACAGTTTAGGTATTTTTTAGTCTACTAAGAAGAAATAAACAACATCAAAACGGAAAGAAATGAATTTATTGCTGTACTCTTTTAGCCCTTTTTGTGTCTCAAACGTTTTAATCAAGAGTAAACGTTTAGATTATCTCTTAATTACTTACTTCACCCTAAGCTACCCTCTAATTAAATTCTTAGAATCCTTTGTAATGTCATTAGTTCTTGTTATTCTCGACTAATTAGCAACAACAATCTTGGTTACGAAGGCACAAATATAATTTTATTTCTTTCTGAAATGGATTACATCGAAATCACTTTAATAAAATGTATATATATATCTAAAAGGGCAAAGCTTATTTGTTCAAATGCGGAAGATAATATTACAAAAAAGTGATAGGGAGGTAATAGCTTTATTAACAAAATTGTTATTCTTATTTACATTAGGTGTGTGTGTGTGTGTGTGTGCGTGTGTTTTTTTCTTTTTACAGAATACATAATCTATTTATTTTAACGAAATATTGCTATTAATTGGTTGTTATTTTTAACAAATTAAATTGCTTTTTATAACACATATTCATCAACGAATTTCACTGCAGTATTTTACACAATCTCCATAAAGCTTTTGGTGGCTCTAAGCATCATTAAAATTTGTTTATCTCAAAAACAAAAGCACAAAAAATTGTCATGGCTAATATTTTGTTGGCAATGTCACCCAATTAATTTTAATTATCTTGCCACTAAAAATGCACTTCATAGCTACATAGAACAAACTGCATTGCGATAATCTTTGAGGCAGATAATATACTATGTCCACAAACAGATTTTACTTTTGAGCTTTATGGTAAAACAATAATGACAGTCAATTCTAGATAAAAAAGTAATGAATAATCCACATTGTGCAGTTCTGTGGCTGTACTACTAATTTTTATTCAATAGCTTTGAAATAATTTTAATGGAAAATACTCTTGTTGGGAAATTAATGCATAACGGGTTTTATATTGTATGCCACCTACCTAAAAACTACCTAAATAAAAATTACTTTGGTAGCACGATTACTTATTTTTTTATTTGTTTTTACGATAAAATGTATTAAAATAATATTCTACAAGCTGCGAACTGAACTCACAGGATATAAAACAGACTTTGAAATTCCGTTGGTCGTATTTGACTAGGAGAAGTAAGCACTTCGGAATTTAGTTAGAGAAGTATTCCTTCAAACAAAAATCTATCTGCAAAAGTGTTCCATTTCAAAGTTAAATTCAAAGGGCTTACTGACTCTAACGCAATTTTAGATACAAGGTATTACATTTTCGTCCTAAACAATAGCTAGTGAAATGGTATTTTAAATAAAATTTCATTTATTTTCAACTAGCAGTCGATCATTAGTAATTATAAAGCATTTTAATATTCAATAATTGTATAATAGCACATGATGTTAGTAATAAATTTATTTAATTTCAAGAGATTTCATTTTAATTTCGAGAACGAAAAACTCCAGCTTTATGTTAAATTTTCACGGAAGTGAAATTTTGGGGGCTCTTGAATTTCATCAATTATGTCAAAACATGAAGTACGTACATATATACTTTTCAGATTTACCTGTAATATGTCATATTGTGATGACAAAAGGATTAATCATTTTTGTAGGGGATTGCTACCAGTAAATTTTCTAATATCTTCCACAAACTTCAATATTGTAACTGTTATTAGAAATTTTTGAAGACTTTGAATAAAAGACATTTTAATAGACAATATCATATAATTGTTCTAAATGGATATTAATATCACAATAATCATAATTAATATACCTACCTGTATATTGTTGTAGTATTGAAAACTACTCAAAGTGTTACATAGATTATGAGAGAAAAAGCTCATACGTTTTATTTCTTACCTTGTTATCTTTTTTATTGTTAGCTATTCCAATTAAAAAAGGCATTAAATAAGCTTTCGTTCACATAAAAGTCAATAACATTTACCACACTCATAAAGTTTCATATGAGTCATATATATATATATATATATATATATAAAAATAAAGTTAATTAGTTCCCCACTAACGCGATATATTTCGCGAACACGTTCGATCGACGTTTCGGCCCCGTTTGTCACTCATCCGGCCGATCCGGACGCGCGACAGCTACTGAGCTGATTCCGGAGGCTGCAGCTATAGCATCGGCAGCAGCTGGCGTCCCGACGCTCCGGAGAAAGCGTCTGCGTTGCCTCTGCCTAACCATCAGCAGTATTACCAACGCGACACGACACTAAATCGTCGCAGCTCTTATCTCTGTTCTGACCCTAAGGGAGTAAGTATTCGGTTCGAGAAGGCTTAGAAAACAGTTGCTGCACTTTACCCTCACCTGTGGATAGAATTGTCTGCTTGCCTGTCCGATAATAATAAAACGAAGGGCGCCGGGGGATACGTATATCTGCACGGCAACGCGACGAACGAAATGAAAATGGAAAATAACCAAATGTGAATTTGTCCGCCGTAATACCTTTCTAAACGGCTTGTCTACAGTACAATAGGCATGACAGAGAAAACAGACGCCGGGAAATCAGTTTCTTTATATGCCCGAAAATAGCACACAGAAGATTAGGAAAGTTAGATTACATTTTCCATTACAATTCACTTATTACAAGTAGGTTAGAAGAACGATCGGTCCTGGCGTAGAAAAGATTAATTGACAAAATACATATTTTTCCTTGAATTAACAGGATAACTACAAATAACCCAAAAAATCTACTAACTAACGGAAAGGAAACCATTGGAAAATATTATAAGGATCGATAAATCCCGCATAACGTAGGTTATCCGAGCTGTTGGGCCCATGGTCTGTAAGCATTATCGGAGGCGTTGTGTAGACGAAATGTTAGAAAGAAAACAATGGGCCCAATAGCTCGGATAGATAACCTTTTATTTCTATTAAACGTTGACCATTGAAGCCTACATTCAACTACTGACATAACATCTTCTCTTTGTCAGAAGTTCTTTTAGAATCGCGCGATTTCCAATTCTATAACTTTTAGTACCTACTTACCTTCCCCGGTATTCGATGATTCTGGTTCCCAAAAGTGAAAATTTCAGGATGATTCTGAGAATCGAATGGTACTATTGCTTAGCAGTATGATAAGCTACAGTATCTTCTCCAGTATTTGATGATTCTGGTTTCCAAAATCTTAGAAATTCGATAATCCTTACTCGTTCCCCAGGTTAGTTGGAATTTTACAATTGTTGGAACGCAAAAGTATCTTACCAATTCAATATTTTTAGTAGCATCTCCGGTACCCGATGGCTCTGTTTTCCAAAAATCCTTTAGACGCTTATCGGAACCTAATATGTCACCGACTCGATAATTTTAATAACTTGCCCGCTACTCTAGAATTCTAATTCCTAAAAATCCTGTGGGATTCGATGATTCTCAGAATCGAATAGCGCCAACCGTTGTCTAGCAATCCGCTAAGTCTCAGTATCTTCTTCATGATTCTAATTTCGAAAAAATATTTAGAACTCTACAATTTTCAGAATCTGATAGCAATCTTTAGCAATCTTTATCAGTTCGATAATCTTCAATACCTTCTCCATATTCGATGATTACGGTTCCAAAAGGTTAAGTTGCAATTCGAAAATTCTCTCAGCCAAATAGTGCCTTACCAATTTAATATTTTTAGTAGCTTCTCTGGTACTCTGTGGTTCTGTTTTTCACAATCCTTTAGAATTAGACGATTGTCGAAACCTAATATCTCAGCAACTCTATAATTTTTAGTGCCTTCTTCACTACTCCAGGATTTTAGTTCGTAAAAATCCTTTGGAATTCAGCTCTTCTCAGAACCCATTAGTCGGTAAAGCAACTCCATAACTTTTAATAGGTACATACCTTCCCGGTTCTTAATGATCCTGGTCTCCAATAATTATTTGGGACTCTACGATTACTGAAATCTCGCAAAACGTTTCCGGTAATGGGTACTTAATCATTCTTCGAACACATTTCGAGTCCTGCTTTTGCAATATCTGTACGATAAGAACTACACTTTTTATAGAAACAATTGGCCATTATTCGAACCGGAAAAGATATTTATTAAGCTCGTTCTCTTGTTTGTTATTATTGGTAAGTATTTTTATTTGGGAGAACATAAAATATGCACTTTGCAATCTGCATTTCTTGTTCACATTTTAATTTACTTTGTGTATTTCGTAAAGAGTTGTTCACAGAATCTTCTGTCATCCTGTACAACATCGAATATAATACACACTGCACATTATTACGTGTAAAAATCGCACCTTGTGTTCAAACAATTTTTTTTAAAAGAAGTGCCATTGACTTTTTCTAAATTTTTTGTGGTAAAGCAAAGGGTTTACAGGGTTATCGGAAAGGAGAAAGCTCCTGTCAAAGACATTACCTAAATAAATAATAGAACCGATATTGCCATTCCATTTACCTGCAAAAGGGCTTGCCTGTCAAATCATACAAATCCCGAGCGATCTTTTAGGAGAATAAAAGGGAATAATGAATGGCATTTACTCAGAATTTTATGCGAACGAGAACTATGTCTGGAACATCTGTGACACTTAACGAATCAATGTTCCTTTATTACCCACAAATGGATTTGATATAAACCGAATTTTTAATAGGAAAGTCCCGAATCTGCAGTCTGGAACAAATGGGATTTTATTCGTTTCATGCAATATTTTTTTGTAGTCTCGACTACTAGAGAATGAAGATTCTCTATTTAATGTAAAATCCAATTAGGGCAAATAGTTTTCCTTCTCTGTTATCACGTATTTTTAACCTATTTATAAACAATCTGATATAGTTCATCATCATAAGGTCGTCAGTCCTAAGACTGGTTGGACACGCACCTCCACTCTTTCCTATCCTGAACTAATCTTTGCATTTTCCTAAAACTGGAACAACCCATATCCTTAACTATTTGCGAACAGTAATCTAAACCCTGCGCTATCCTCTGCTTTATATCCCTACTGCTCCTTCCGTCCTGACTTATCTGACTTCTTAGATATCTAAAATCAGCCACTTCTTCTAATTTTTCGTCTCCTGTCTTTATATTCGCTGTTTCCCTATTTATTTCTTTCCTTGCGTACCAGTATTTTCGTTCTATTTTTATTTATTTTCATACAGTACTGTTTTGTCAGTCTTATTTAAAACTATCTCTATTTCCTCCTTGCTAGATGCTAATACTGCTATATCATCTGCAAATATAAGCATACTGATCATCTGTCTTTAATTATGTCGATTGTGTCCTCGATGTATAGATTAAAAAGTAGCAGTGACAGTCTACATCCCTATATGACTCCCTTCCTAATATTTACTTCTCTACGTTGCAGCCCCATCTCTATAACTGCCTGTTGCTCTTTACACAAACTAAGTATCACTTTTCTATCTTTGTAACTCATACATTTTTAAGTATATAAAACATCTTGTCCCATTTAACATTGTCAAAAGCTAGAATGGCCTCCCGCGTTTCTCTATTTCTTCTAAACCCAAATTGATCTTCCCCTAATAGTTCTTCCTCCCCTTTTTTCCCATCCTCCTCTGTACAATTCTAGTTAAGACATTTGACGCATAGGAAGTTGTGGTAATTGTTTTAAATGTCTCGCACCTATCCACACCTCTCTTTTTAGGTATGGTTGCAACCACGTTCCGTTTATAATCCTCTGGGACTTTCCCCGTGTAGTAAATGTGACTAACTAGCTTAAACATACTATCTCTAACCTCTTGTCTTGGATGTTTTAGAATTTCCCCCTGACATACCTACGTTTAGTTATTCTAATGGAGACTTATTAAAGAAAAACGTCCGCGGATGCAAAAGACGCAGTCTTTTTTATGCAACGAACTAGAATCTGCGAACGCTTTATGAAAACCGCAGAGCCGATACGTTCGCGAGGTAATGGCACCATACGCTGCTTTGAAGCTTTATTCCGGGCTAATGTAAATTTTTTAATTAAGCTCCAATGGCTTTAATGACTTTCTTGAAGGAAGGTTATTAGCACACTTTTTTATTCTTTGGGTAAATTTTAAAAGAAACTTAATTTACCCCCTGGCTTTCTTATCGGCAGGTAGGTTATTATTGCTTATTTCTTAATTTTGACGTAGCAACCAGTTTTCTAAATGCACAAATAGTCTGATAAAATTAAACGAAATCAAAAATCCCCAGAAAGATCCAAAGCTATATATAAACTGGAAAATAACTTTGACTCATAATAAATTTACTTATTATATTTTAATAAATCAAAATCCATAACGATTATTCTAATAAACTGGTGGGAAAACTATTAACATTGAAAAATCTTGGTCGGCTATTCCCAACGGTATATGTAGGTCAAACGAGAAGACGTTTGAATGTAGGAATGCTACAACTTAAATGTTGTTGTTGTGCATTCTTCCAAAACCAGCAGCCGAAATTTCATCTTGCGAGGGCTTATAATTATTTTTCTCCAAATTACTTTATCAAATTGTAATTAAAGTTTGGAAAAATAACGCTAGGTAAACAACTCACAAATAAAATGATTAGATTGTGTCCCGATGGTCTTTTTCCATCTTCAATCAGCCAATACTTGCATTTCTCGAAACTCCATCAACTCGATTTGTGAACAGTAATCTAGTCTACCGGTGAGAGAGGTTGTTTCTACTTCAGATATGTCTCTAGCAACCCCTTCATGTGTAATGAGGTGTCCCTCCAATCTATCTCGCCTATTCTTATTGATTTTCACAACGCCCTGTTTTAAATACTTTGCCTTAAATGGTACCGAAATAATTTTGTACAAATTTTCATTTATCTAAAACCTTTTCACCTTTTCCGCTTTTGTTGAAAAATTAGATTTTTGTAGCCGTTTTCCGTAATACGATATTTTAGGGCATATTCTTTACCTTATTAACTTTCCTTTTCTGTTCGTAATAAAGCTCAAAGCTTCTGTATACCTAAAAATTGTTTTCAATTCAGTTTTCCCTTAATTTC